TCCTCCACGCCGCTCATTTATTTAAAACGACTCTGAGCTCAGAGGAAAAGTGCCTCCTCATCACAAACCCGACACACATCAGGACAGCAGCCTCAGCTTCTCTTTTAGTTTCCCTTCACAATCAGCCTGCTGCCGTGCGTCACACCACTCGTCAGTTTGAGAAGATCCTAAATAAAGGATATCAATTAAACATCATAAATGTCCAGATGGCTTTAGTCCCACTGTAATTAGTCAGATTTTTGTTAAAGGATAAGTCTACTTCCAGAATAAAAATGTCCTCCCCCATGTCATCCAGGATGTTCATGCCTTTCTTTCTTCAGTCACAAAGAAATTAAGTTTTTTGAGGAAAACATTGCAGGATTTTTCTCCATATAGTGGACTTCAATGCTGGCCAACGATTTGAACGTCCAAAATGCAGCTTCAAAGAGCTCTACACGATCCCAGCCGAGGATTAATAATAATAATAATAATTATCTAGCGAAACGATCTGTCATTTTTCTGAAAAAAAATTATATTTATACACTTTTTAACCACAAATGCTTGGCTAGCGTTAGCTCTGTGATGTGCGTCTTTATCAGCTGATGTTGGAAAGGTCACGCGTGATGTAGGCGGAAGCACCGACCCAGTGTTTACAAAGCCAACATGCAAAAAAGTCATTGCCCTTTACAAAGGTAAAACAATGATGTGGGATGATTTTAAAGTTGGAGGAGAAAATGAGATGGAGTTTTTAACCAAAGTCCACAGATGAAGAACTAACCGCGCGTGACCTTTCCAACAGGATTACATAATGTGTGAAGACATATCGCAGAGCTAGCGCAAGCCCAGCATTTGTGGTTAAAAAATGGATAATTATGATTTTTTTTAAGAAAATGACTGATTGTTTTGCTACATAAGAAAATGCAGTTTCAAAGAGCTCCACATGATCCCAGCCGAGAAATAAGGGTCTTATAATCATAACAATCGCTCATTTTCTTTAAAAAAATTATATTTATACACTTTTTAACCACAAATGCTTGGCTAGCGTTAGCTCTGTGATGTGCGTCTTTATCAGCTGATGTTGGAAAGGTCACGCGTGATGTAGGCGGAAGCACCGACCCAGTGTTTACAAAGCCAACATGCAAAAAAAGTCATTGCCCTTTACAAAGGTAAAACAATGATGTGGGATGATTTTAAAGTTGGAGGAGAAAATGAGATGGAGTTTTTAACCAAAGTCCACAGATGAAGAACTAACCGCGCGTGACCTTTCCAACAGGATTACATAATGTGTGAAGACATATCGCAGAGCTAGCGCTAGCCCTGCATTTGTGGTTAAAAAATGGATAATTATGATTTTTTTTTTTTTCAGAAAATGAGCGATGGTTTCTCTAGATAAGACCCTTATTCCTCGGCTGGGATCGTGTAGAGCTCTTTGAAGCTGCATTTTGGACCTTGAAAATCGCTGGCCACCATTGAAGTCCACTATATGGAGAAAAATCCTGGAATGTTTTCCTCAAAAACCTTAATTTCTTTGTGACTGAAGAAAGAAAGACATGAACGTCTTGGATGACATGGGGGTGAGTAAATTATAAGGACATTTTCATTCTGGAAGTGGACTTATCCTTTAATGATCATGTGAGATACACGTTAATCAGACTGTGACTGACTCCGGAAGCATCACACGGCATGTGTTTTATTGGACAGCGCATCATGTCACATGCTCTGGGACAGAGATGTCAGCTGCATCTCAACTACAAAACGCCCGCTGCAGCTTCAGGTAAGCATACTGATGAGACGACAGAGAGAAATGTGGAGTGGTGTTATATATGAAGAGGGTCGGCTGCCGTTTAACCCTGTAAAGAGAGCGGCCGCTGGACGAGCGTCTCCATCAGTAATGTGTTTATGAAAATGAGCCACATGACAGATCACATGCTCATCCATCATACTGAATACTCCAAACGCTCTCTCTCTCTCTCTCCGTTCTCTTCAGCCATATTTTTCTTCTCTCTGCATCAAGTCTTCGTTTATTTCTCTCGCTCTTTCTACTGCAGCTGTTCTCTTTATTTCCCTCTCTCTCTCTCATTTGTAATATGGCAGTACAGGAAGCATAAGGTGGGAATATCTCTCATTAGTTTCCACTCGGTTGCCATGACGACAGCAGTTTGAGTGACAGATCTGAAGTTGGGCTGACAGGTGACGTGTGGTGCCACAAACAACACAACACACACTAATATCACACACAAGCGGCGACTGCCTCATCTGAGCTCATATGAAAAAGCACAAGAGGAAAAAAACATAATAAAATGTTGACATTAAATATTGATTTTTATGTGGGATGAGCTTTACTGTTCCTGGAGAGAGACAGAGAGAGAGCTGCACAAACACACTCAATGCTTCAGCGTTTCCTCCAGGAAAAATCCAAATACTCTCAGAAAGGACAGCAGCGCCTGAAACAGAGACCCTCTGCACACCATCATTATACTCAATTAGGTGAATAATTATTCACCCTTCATTTGATAATCAGTGGACAGGACTGAACGCCGCTGTGATGTTCACCTGCTCTCCAGCACGACGCTGTTATATAACAGCTCCTCTCTGAGCCGCAGGATGCAGCTGTAAGCTGATCCATATCTCTCTGGCAAAACTCTGGCTAGGAACCCAGTTCCTAATGCATTATAAAATAATACCAAAACTGTATTACCACTGCCACAAAAAAAACGATGCTGCAGCATTCAAAGCACATGCTGGAAACCTGACGCAAAGCTGCATTTCTCAGTGAATATACAGCGAACGATCAGACGCGTGGCGATTCTGTTAGTGTCTCCAGACGAATTAAGACACTAACAGAACTGAAAACAGGTGATTCCATGGAAACACCATAACGCTTCTGTGATTAAATGACTCAATGAATCATACTGAATCAAAAGCTGTGGCTTAAACAATGGGAAAATTAATTTAGGGCATAACGCTGATTTTAATAGTGTGTAACATCACTAATATCAAACATGAATAAGACACCCACCTATCCTGAACATCAACACACATGTATGTTTTCTATGAAGCCGAGCTGCAAAAGTATTTATTCAAAATTCAATCTTTCCCAGCTTTGACATCAGAATTAGGTTAGCAGACAGCATTAAAAATATCTTTGTTTTATGTTGATTTCGATTTAGAATACATGGCAAAGACATGGTGGAAAATACATTTGCAATCGGATATTAGAGACTTGAGCTGGAATTAATATGGAGTTTTTTTTATGAATATCCAGAGGGAGTTCATCATACTCCTGAAGACTTCCGTCTCTTTCCATAAAAGAAAAATAAATCTATCTCTACCCTCCCATTCGGGAACATGTTTTAAGCACTGACTCTGAGCCAAATCCATGACACAAATTCAATAAGTATAATCATCTGTTTTCATTAGTCGGGCTGACGTCCTATAGGAAGCAGATGAGCCATTTCTATAAGTCATCCGTATTAATAAGCTGCATCTGGCTGTTTGGTGAACAGTGGAAACTGAACACAGAGGATTTGCTCTTTCCCTGTGAGCACAAACTGGACTGTGCTGTTCACTCCTGAAGGACAGTTTAAGGGTCTGTGATAGTAATGAGCTTTTATCTGACTGACACACGGATGGTCTGAGTAACTGACGGCTCACGTAAGAGCACATGAAGGTGAACCATTAGAAACTGCAGGAGAAAAAACACAACGAGAGACAGAGCATCAGGACAGAAAAACCCACAGCAGAAGCACTGACAGACATGAGCCCGTCATCTTTAATATCCCATATTGCATGGATGTGCATGCCTTTTACATTTTTATTATACATTTTTATTGGGGCAAACACACTAATTACATTTAAAGGTAATTTAAAAAGATGACAGTCACTATAACATAATCAAACATTTTAAATGTCATTGCGATTGTCATATTAAGTGAACTTTAGTTTTGTGTCATGATATATCATCCTGAAACCTGAAAATGTATAATTTAGAACAATTTGATTTATATATCGAATTGGTGTGTGTGCGTCTGTGTTTTGTGTGTGTGTGTGTGTGTGTGTATGTGTGAGTCTGTGCTGTGTGTGCGTCTGTGTTTTCTGTGTTTTGTGTGTGTGTGTGAGTGTGTGTGCGTATATGCGTGCTTCTGTGTTGTGTGTGTGTGCGTCTGTGTTTTGTGGGTGTGAGTGTGTGTGTGTGTGCGTGTATGTGTGCGTCTATGTTGTGTGTGTGTGTGTGCGTCTGTGTTTTGTGTGTGTGTCGGTGTGTGTGTGTGTGAGTGTGTGTGCGTCTGTGTTTTGTGTGTGTGTGCGTGTATGTGTGCGTGTGTGTGCATCTGTGTTTTGTGGGTGTGTGTATGTGTGCGTCTGTGTTGTGAGTGTGTGTCTGTGTCTGTGCTGTGTGAGTGCGTGTGTGTGTGAGTGTGTGTGTCTGTGGTGTGTGTGCATGCGTGCGTGTGTGTATCTGTGTTGTGTGCGTGTGTGTGTGCATCTGTGTTGTGTGTGTGAGTGTGTGCATCTGTGTTGTGTGTGTGTGTGTGTGTGAGTGAGTGAGTGAGTGTGATTCGTTCAAATGGCTGATTCATTCAGGAATTAAGTAAATGGCTGTTTATGAATGGGCCTTTGATTCACACGATTCGTTCAAAATGCGGATTCATTCAGAAACTAAACACCGCTGTGTAGCACGGACGCGCAACAATTCTGCTGTGGATTTAAAGGTAATATGTTCTCTGCAAAATTGAGCAAAAGCACATAATATTGTGTTTAAAAGATAACACAATATCAACTTCTTATTTACTCGTATTTACTTATTTATATCGTATGATATAAATAATATGAGACAAAAACTCATACAGGGGCATTTCTTACACAAATATCTTGAATTATAATGCATAACTGCATTTATGGAGCTGTTGCCCTGCATCATATTTGTCAGCAGTCACTGTATGAACTGTAAGATGCTTAGACGCTTAACTCTGCAGGAATGATCTGAACCGGACACACCTCATCAGGAGAGCTCGTCTTACCTGTGACGGACAGCTCGGTGGTCCTCCTCACCACGAAACTCCCAAACTGTAATTCGCAGGTGTAATTCCCGATGTCGTCTTCCCGCACGTCTCTGATGGAGAGCACATCCGCCTTCCTCATGATGCTCTGTCTCCACTGCTTCGGCCGGCATTCCTGCATCCATAAACACATGGGCTGTTTAATGCAGTTAATGCATTTCATTGGAATGACGCGTTAATAAATCGCCTTCGATGCTGTCGATAGATCGCAGCACTACTGATTTCATGCTTAACAGTGTTTTGACAACAGCTTGAGTTTCATCTGTAAATTGCCTACCAAACTGCCTGTCAATCATTTATTGAGCACTTAATAATTTCCATATCGATGAGCAGATGAGTTTATTATCAAGGCAGCGAACCACGAGAAGATGATGCACAAACTGTGCTGAAGTTAACCAGTGTTAAACTCAGGAAAAAAATACAACTCCCTGAACAGAAGAAACAACACAATGCAGAACGGAGAGAAGAAAGGACAGAAAGTGCTGACTCAAAGAAGAGTGAACGGAGACTAAGAGACCGACAGCATGAAAACTAAAGATTAACATCCCTCCACTACATGTGATCCCCAGCTCCAGTCTTATAATTAGCCTGCGGTTTGATTCCCTGCTGAAATAATACGACGCTGTTGTTCCTGTAAGACTAAACGCAGCTCTCATCAAAACACAGGTGAACAAAACCACAGATACAAATACACTGAGAAACAGTGAAAGGAGAATGTGAAACCTCTACAGCAGTGGATCACAACCAGGAAGCTTTAACCCTTGTTATTATGTTTGAGTTTTGAGTATGATTTTTATGTTAGGAGTCTAATTAAATTCAACACAATGCACCAAAAAGTCACACCATGTAAAAAAGAGGTAAAACAGTAAACCTTTAACATGAATACTTCTCACACATTACAACAAAAATAAACATGAGAACATATGATTTTTAAAATTGTAATATTTAAAAATTTTTAATGGTCCTTTTCCAAAAAAAGCATGTAAAGCATGGCACTAGCAATGCTGAGATCATGGGTTGGATTCCCAGTGAAATAACTCTGCTTGAACACATAAAAATTTATGTTTTTAATGCAGTGTACATTTCTTCAGATAAAAGCATCTGCCAAATGCGTAAATGTAAATGTAAATGTGAATCCCCTCAGAGGGTAGCTGAGAACCTACATTGCAAAACACAGTTGAGGTCAAAAGTTTACATACACCTTGCAGAATCTGCAAAATGTTAATTATTTTACCAAAATAAGAGGTATCATACTAAAAGTTTATTTAGTACTTACCTGAATAAGATATTTCACATGAAAGATGCTTACATATAGTCCACAAGAGAAAATGACAGTTGAATGATCCCATTCAAAAGTTTACCTCCCCTTGATTCTTAATACTGTGTTGTTACCTGAATGATCCACAGCTGCGTGTTTAACAGTTAAACCGCCCACTGTTTTTCAGAAAAATCCTTTGGATTCTTTGGCATTTTTGAGTATTTGAACCCTTTCCAACAATGACTGTATGAATTTGAGAGCCATCTTTTCACACTGAGGACAACTGAGGGACTCAAACACAACTATTACAGAAGCTTCAGACGCTCGCTGATGCTCCAGAAGGAGAAACCATGCATTAAGAGCCTTTTGAACAGAATGGAGATGTGTACATTTTTCCTATTTTGTCTAAATATCATATTTTTATTCATTTAGTGCTGCCCTTCAGAAGCTACAGAAGATAGCTACGTGTTTCCCAGAAGACAAAATAAGTTAAATTTACCCTGATCTTCAAATTCAAAAAGTTTTCTAAATGCATGGTTTCTCCTTCTGGAGCATCAGCGAGCGTCTGAAGCTTCTGTAATAGCTGCGTATGAGTCCCTCAGTCGTCCTCGGAGTGAAAAGATGGCTCTCAAAATCATACAGTCACTGCTGGAAAGGGTTCAAATACACAAAAATGCTGAAAAACTAAAAGGATTTTTCGGAAGAACAGCTTTTTCTAGTTTAAACCGTATTTTAATTTTCATCAGTTTTATCCTGTGACCCACAACGCAATATAAGTTATATTTAAATAATCTAACTTTATTAAAATTCTTTTAAAAAAAAAAACTTAATTACTTATTTTTCCCTTAAACATCTGTTGATTTATTAAAGGAACAAACAGCTCTTGAAAGTCCTGGAATCATAAAAAAATAATAATTGTGCGTAATTAATTTAATATACTGACACTCCCACTTTCTGTTAATTAAACCATTTGAAAACAAGTATTTGTCACCGCGAGCATTGTCAAAAAATATGCAAGATTATAATAGGGGCCTGATGTAGTGAAGCACAGCGAGCTGCTGTAGATTCACTGAGCCGCTGGTAGACGAAAGGGTGTGACATATCTGTGACACGCAGAGGATCATGGGTAATTTCTGGAATCTGCAGAATCTCCTGAATTCTCCAAAGCTAAAGCCATCTCACGCCATTAACTGTGCCGTCAGCTTTAGTGGGGAATCTTTATGAGGCGGAGATGCAGATTCAACGTGACGTGAGATCACCAGACAGATGGACACACCTGTGCAAATGAGTTTAAATATCCTGACCTGCGTGCGGCTGATCTAAACATCTCACTGAAAGCTTGTTTCCTCAGGAGGAGTGTTTCTGCTGTTTTATATCAGTACACAGATAATATTTTTACCCACAGTTCCACGCTCATTTGCACATAAGGTAAGAATATCAGTGAATCCACTAAAAATTGGGTCGGTTTATAATTAATGGCATCTTGACTAAACGTATGATCATGTTTGATTCATTGTTGGAAGCATTAAGGACCTTGCAGGAGAATTTATCACGGTTAATTAGTGGATGAAGGCAGCCGTTATGTGGGAATAGGGAAGCTTGCATTGGTTAAATCATTAAACACGGGCCGTAATTCCTTCTGAACGCCTGCGGATCACACAGAAATCCAGAGCGTTTCACCGAACATGAAAATACAGTCAAACTCGACACAAAAAGCGGCCAATCAGAGTGTACGAGGAGCGCGAGCTGTCCAATGAGATTTACAGTACTAGTCAAAAGTCTCCAAATATTATGAGTTTTTAATGTTTTAGTGTAGTCTGTTCTGCTCACCAAGGCTGCAATTATTTGATCAAAAATACAGTACAGTAAAAACAGTGAAATATTATTACAATGTAAAACAGCTGTGTTCTGTGAGTATCTGTTAAACTGTAATGTATTTCTGTGATGCACAGCTGTATTTTCAGCATCATTCCTCCAGTCTTCAGTGTCACATGATCTTCAGAAATCAGTATAATATGCTGATCTGCTGCTCCAGAAACATTTCTGATTATTATCAATGTTGAACACAGTTGTGCTGCCCAAGATTTGTGTGGAAACTATCATACACTACCATTACAATTTTTATGGTGTGTGTTTTATTAATAGAAATTAATGCTTTTATTTAGCAAATATGCATTAAATTGATCAAAAGTGACAGTAAAGACATTTATAATGTTACAAAATATTTATATTTCAAATAAATAATGTTCTTTTTCACCTAAGAATCATAAAAAAATATTCACCAAACTATTGAGCATAAACAGTTTTTAGCATTGATAATAATATGAAACATTAATAACTGAGCACCAATAATAATTGTTTTTACTGTATTTTTGATAAAATAAATGCAGTCTTGGTGAGCAGAAGAAACTTCAGAAGAAATCACAAAAAAAATCGTAATGTTTTCAAACTTTTGACAAGCTCTGTACATTTTGACGCTGCATGAGGACGCGTGTGAATCAAACAGTGATTCTGAAGGATGTCAAAAAGCCAGATGCATTTCCGCCACATTCACGTCTGTGATGCAGCACTCGGTTCATTTCTCTGACTATAACAGATGGAATTGAGCATTCTGGGGGAAATGTTAATGAAATACGCCTTCAGACGCAGCCTGAGAGTCAGAAATGCTGTCCCTCGAGTGACGTCTGTCCGAGGATGCACTGCGGCCCGTCGTGGTTCACTACAGCGCTTCTTTAAATCAGTATTTTATGAGCGCTGGGTTATTTATGAGCCGGAGGAAGGTCAGGCTCTGCTGGGAGTGGAGGAGACACGATTCGGACAGACGCATAACTCATGTGTCGCAGCGCCGAGGCCGGCTGATTAACTATATACTGCTGGAGCCCGACACACCGCCACTGTTTACCCATAATGCCTCTCAGGCCTCAATTCAGCCAGTATCCCTCCGCTAACATGAAGTTAGACCTGTTCTCTCTCTTCATCACCACGTCTCTCAATCCTTTCAGTCACCAGAGCCTGGTCCGTCACATAAACCCATGAACACCTGCTTCTCGTCTCAGTTTCTAATGCTTGTTTCTGACTTTTCAGCTCTGTTAACTATTCTAATGTTTACTGACTGTTTAAATTAATGTGATGTGTACATTTGACTGCCACACCAATAATAAATCATTCTGATGGTGCAGATACAGATGAGTGCGGCTCTACACTGTGTCTGAACACAACAACAATATAGTACTGATCGAACACACACACACACACACACACACACACACATAAATACAGGTCATGAGGTCAAAGGTGACTGCACCATATATGATTGAAGTTAGATTTCAACTCAACTCCAAATTCAAGTAACCACTCTGCTTTTTAACTCCCCTAATTAAATGAAGCCTACATTTTACAATCAACACTAACACTGAAAAATAAATCACAAAATCACATTTCATTCTTAATGGATCAAATTATTCCATGTTCAAAGACACAATTAAATTGTTCAGAGATTCATTGATCGTTAGTGCAGATAAACTAAAATGCCCCTGCCTCTTTAGAAATTCAGTTTACAGTTTGTTTCAACAGCTTACACACATTTTCAAAACGTTGCCTCTTTTTTTCATAACTTCACACACAAATCCAAGAATTGCACACAAAATGCAAAAAGCCTCTCATCTCTTGCAAAATGAAGCGCTGCATTCAAAATATCACAAACACATCTCAAAAGCAAACATTTGCAAACAGCTTTGCCATAATATTAATCCTGTTAGATTTGTGTGTTACATAGAGAACTGTGTTGTGTTTCGCAAAAAGTGTTTTATGAAATTGAAAACTGAGTCAAAGACCGTTAATTAGTGTATGGCTTTGTAGATTTGGTGTGTGCTTCTGCTGTTTGAGTGTCAGCTTTCAGAAACGGTGACAAGAGAAGATTGTGTGGAAGCAGTTGAAAAAAACTGTAAATGCAATTTCATAATTCGGAAGAACGGCTAAAAATTAGTAGTAAAAAAAAAAGAAGTAGTAAAAATTATTCATGCAGCTGATGAAGATGATGAAAAACTATGCAGATGATGAGATGATAAACAATTTCAGAGGAAAGAGCGGATGAGTTCGTAAGCGTGGATGGAGCCATTCGAGTCCTGAAGAAACAAAACCCGTTTACCTCATTACCGCACTTATATAACCAAACACCATGTTTAATATCTGATAGGAATGAAAGAGAGTCAGTGAAGGACAGAATTACAGGCTGTTCAATGGATTATACTGTTAATTAACAACATGACAACTGTTCAGCTGATGCAATCTAGACATGAAAACTTACACGAGTCAAGAGAAAGAGAAAGATTCTCGTCAAATTAAGACTCAACGGTCTGTTCCTGATGGTCATGTGATCTGATGGATATATTAGAGGAGCGGGAGCGAGGTACAGTAATACGCTTGTGTTGTGATGAATACGCTCCTTTAAACTCCACTGAAGTTCTCCTTCATCATTTGTTACAGTGTTTCGCTTCAGATCAAAGCTGTCTCAGTTCATAGAGAGACTCAAACGTCTTCTTCTCCTAATGAGGGAACCTAATGAGCCATTGACAGGAAACGGCCTTTACCTGCGAGGTTAACGACGTACTACAACATGAGACGTACTACGCCACGCTTTTCCCGTTTCTGGTGGATTGACCTCCGTGGCGGAACTGCTGCTGTTCACAAACACCGTCACATCAGAGGAACCGGCGCTCAAATCTTTCATTTACTTCAGAGACATGACCTGAATCGAAAATGCATGAAACCTAATTATTGAACGCACATCATAAATGGTAAAAGTGTGGCATCAGAAAGAGCGGAATGAAAGCATCACGAGGTGGTATGATCTGATCTCATCATGTGCTTCACTCACAGCTGTCATTTGTTTTGATGAGTCTCTATATTAATACACCAGACACAAGTCCATTCTCCTCTGTCTCTATCTGTCTTGAGTTAGTGTTGCTCCTGATTACTGTAAATGGATGTGACCATCAGCCCAAATCAAATCCCTGCAAACTCGCCCATTACAAAACAACAGATTCACAATGAGAGAGACCACAATTCAGAAAGACTGTCAAAAGAACTCCTGGGGCCTCTGTGATTCCTGAGATGTGAAAAACGTGGGATGGAATTGCAAAATCCAGTCATAAAAATGGAATTCACTGTATAACACGGAATGTCATGGCATTTTCCGATTTTGGATGAATAAATCAAAAGTAGTCAATGGTGAGTACACATAAATCATCAGACGGTCTAGTGTCTTTGAATATTGAACCAAGACAGGACTATTTAAACATGAATCTGCATGTTCTGTGTGAATGAGAGCCGTAGTTTGGACTGATACACAAACTCAAACACGCGTGACGCTCACAGTGTTTCAACATATGAGCGCATAACTTCATCTCCAGAGCTGCTCTGACAGTCACTTCAGCAGCTTTACAGCGTTTATGTTGAGAAAAATCACCGTCAAACACACACTGAGACTCTCAGACCTTCAGCACAAACCGCCAACATAAAAGTCCAGTTTAACTTGAAGAAATTGTGACAGAAATATATTACTATTGTACAGTAGAATGTACATCTCAATGTAATAATAATACTAATACTAATATTAACACTAATAATAATAATTATTATTATTATTATTTCTATTTCATTCACTATATTGCTTTGTCATCTCAAGTCACCTTTATTTCTATAGCACTTTATAAAATACAGATTGTGTCAAAGCAGCTTTACAGTGTTAAACAGGAAAATAGTGTGTTGATAATGCAAGAGGACAATAAAGTCAGTTCATCATTGATTCAGTGTTGTCATCACTCAGCTCAGTTCAGTTCAAATAGTATCTGTGCAATCAAGTCAACAATATTGCCAGAAAATAAGTGTCTAATCATCTAATCAAATTTTATTGATGACTTTAATAATGTTTTTGAGGATGATATGCACCTCTTGAGTAGATCTGCTTACAGCTGATTCACTACTGATCCAGTAATCACAAACATTCGTCTTGGGAATTGGGATTTACATTTAACAAAGACAGTCATGATGCTGCCAAATCAGTGTGACGATATACACACAAATCAGCTTCAGGTAAACGTTCAACATGAGATCACACACACACACACACACACACAGAGGAAGAAACAGCTAGTACCTTAACACGCATGAGTAATGTCCGGCGTCCTGTAACTCGGCCGGTCTGAACCAGATGGAGTCCTCCTCTTTACTCATCCGGCTCCCGTCGAATGAAATGGGCTCCTCGAAGTCTCCATGGCCGGTGCTTTTGTACCACATCAGACTGAGTCCGGCACTCTGAGCATGTGTGTAGTTCGCACGGATGTATCCATAAAATAAAGCGCATTTAATCCTCACAGGCTCCCCGAGCAGAACTTTGTATTTCAGGTAGTCCACAGACCAATCCGTACAGCCGTCCACTGCGGAGACAGAGAACACTGCGTTAATACAACAGGACCGACGTACAGCATCTGACAGCACAACATGAGGCCTTGATACATGAAATAACACAGTCAGACACAGATCAGGGCCAGTGTGTGTGTGAGTGTGCGAGTGAGTGTGTGTGTGTGTGTGTGTGTGAGTGAGTGAGTGAGTGAGTGATTGTGAGAGTGAGAGTGTGTGTGTGTGTGTGTGTGTGTG